TTAACTTCCTTGTGTCTATTTCACTTTGCAGCTCTTCCAATCGCCAATGTTGGGTCCACGTGGGGTACATCAAGACAGGTAAGTCGAACTGGTTTGTTGCCTAGATGCGGTTTTCGTCTTGCAGAGGGTTGTCCAGACTCTCTCACACCCAGGAACACGTACTTGGCCCCAGTCTTAAGGTTCGCGACCAAAGTTGTCTCGTCCAGCTTGAGGTCTACAGCATCTTCAACGTGCTTGCCCTTTCTGACATAGATAACGTTGCACTTCTTTGGGTTTCACTGCAAGCCCATATCCTGCATCGCGGTACTGGTGGATCGTAGTGCCCTGTTTAGCTTGCTCTCAGATGAAGCGAACACTTTAAGATCGTCTACATACAGCAAATGTGTCACCTTAGTCCCTACAGGCTTAGAAAGCCTATACCCCTACTTAGCATTTAGTTTCCAACAACCGGGTTTAGACATAAAGTGAAGAGATGCGGGCAAAGTGAGTCTCCCTGGGGCAGACCTTTATTGAATCTGATGGACTAGAAAGTCTCATTTGCCTGCTTTGTAGGAACTGCGATTCTGCTATTCCAGTTTGAACAGAGGTTCCGGATCGCCCTACAGAGCCAGAGCCGGTGAACTTCCATACTCTCGTTTAGGCAGTTTTGATCAACAGAGTCATAGGCCTTCTTTACATCCACCCAAGCCATGCTTAAATTCCGTTTACCACGATGGTAATCCTGCGTGACCATTTTGTCAATCAAAAGGCTGCCCGTGGTACTACTGCAACCAGCCTTGTCTCCCCTTTGCTCACCTTCCATTAAATCATACTCATTTAGATGACTGTCTAAAGGAATGTGAATACACGATGTGAACAACTTGTACATGCATGCTACTCTAAGCAAGTTATTGGTCGCTGATCATCATTATCATAACTATTACTATTACTATTATCCCAAGCATTGGAGCGTTTATGGATTTTTTTTTTACTAAACTGGCAAAACTTTCCAAGAGCAAGACTGTTTATTTCCTTCATTCTTTTCTTTTTCGTGTGTATAGTCTCCAGTAAAGAGCACTGTGGAGAATAAAGTAGAGAGCCTAAAATGTCTCTAAAATACGATTTTGCGACTTTCATCGTGTCTATTTGGACCCGCTCAATTTGTCAAATGCACTTGATTTCTCCTGGATTTGAAGTGTCTAAGACTTAATCAAGCTTTAAAAGAAGAAATGACAAATTTATCCTCGTATGTACCCGGGCGTCCCCCATTAAAAATAAATAAATAAATAAATAAATAAATAAATTGTAAATTGCTTTTTTACCCACGAAGCACTCAAGAGTTCATATGCACTCGTTTAAACGCGTCCGTGCGTTCCAGATCGAATTGGAATTTGGAAGTGATGGCTTTTGAGGAAAGGGGAAAACCGGAGTACCCGGAGAAAAACCTCTCGGAGCAAGGGAGAGAAACAGCAACAACCTCAACCCACATAATTATGGCGTCGACGCAGGGATTTGAACCTGGGCCATATTGGTGGGAGGCGAGTGCTCTCACCACTGTGCCACCCTTGCTCCAAGTTGCATTGACGCCTGTGATAACGAATTTTAAAATGTTATCAGTTTACCTGAACAGAAACCACACCACCGTCGACAATTTTGCAAGGACCAGTAGAAATAAGCAGAACAAAAGCTATTTGGGAGATGCGGGCACACAACTTGTCTATCAGAGCAACCCGCTGTAAAACAGAGAGAAAAGATAAATAAACGAATAAATAAATTAATTAATTAACAAATACCCTTTTAAAAAAATCTGTTTACGAAGTGAAAACAAAAACAAATGTCTATTTAACAATTAGTCGCAGAAGGCGACGTTAATATCCGCGAATAATCACCAAGACGAAGTCGGGGGACTATTCGTCGATATTTGTGAGCTTTATGCAAGATAGTCCCTAATACATACCTCCACAAAAACCACATGTTTTTGCGCAATATGTTCTAGAGAAGTTAAAACTATTCACACAGAAATTTCCGTGGGCTAATGATGAACAGAGGTTCGGGAAGAGATCAGAACAACCTGCACATGAAACAAGAAGAACGATAAGCATAGCAAAAGTAATCAATCCTTAAAAACTGTAAGCCGAGGTGGGTTAGTTGATTAACATTTTTCTCGGGTCTTGCTAAGTCGTTAATTATTGCCTTTACCTATATACAAAATACCCATGTATAGACATCCATCAGGGAGCTCGAACCAAAATAATTTTTTGGTGATTTCTATAGGCATAGCATTTAAAACATGAAAAAACGTACCCAATTTTTTCAAGTTTTAACCTCAGATTCTATACTTGCCATCCGTAACAACAGACGACAGGAAACAGTTTTAATAAAAAACAAACAAACAAACAAACAAAAAAAAAAAAACAAAACAAACCAATAAAACTAGGTAGCAAATATCGTGACATACCCCCTTAAATACAGTTGAACCTCCATTAAGCGGTCACCCTTTATTAAGCAGCCAGTATTTAATGTCCCGGACTAATTGTAGGAAATGGAAAATTAAACCTCTTGTATTAAACGGCCACCTCTATTAAGCGGTCGTGACCACACCTTTTGGCCGTCCCAACGAGAGTTCTCCCATTGTTGACCTCTATAAAGCGGTCATCAAGCCCTTGATACACTTTTTTTTGGCTCATGAACGAAAATACTGATGATGACCGATTGTGGACTAATACTGCTTATTCTGTCGCGTTCTTATTTTAAAATAAAGCGATTTGTCCACTAAAGATTAAAGTTGTGTTTAGTAATGACGAACTCCTATCAAGCGGCCACCCTTCGTTGAGCAGCCACTTAACGGTTTACTTGTACCCCGAACTGTATGCATATTCTTACTGAAGTATCAAATTTTCTGGATGTATCTTACAATATTGCGTAGTCACTCAGCGAGCCCTTACAAATTAAAATCAGTAAATTCAGCTGCCACATAATAGCAAACATTTTTCTCCACGACCAGAGTCTGTCGATGAAACGAGCATGCATGAACAAGGAAAATCATGAAATCCAAAGGGCCGTGTAAAAAACGAGCAGTTTAAACTCTCAAACTGAACATAAAACAACAAAAATAGTTTTCGCTAAAAAGTTTCTTTAAACCAGTAGTGCGCATTTTGTTCTTAGATGTTACTCTGCGAAAATTTTTGTAGGTTACATGGCAATTAGGGAAGTAGAAAACTTAAAATCAATAAACCGCAAGCAGAGTTGTGGGAATTTAGAATCCCAAACAGAAGGAATGGATTTTTTTTTATACAAACATGGCGAAGGCTTCTAACTCAAGACTATCAAGTTTCTAACCGCTCGCGGACCACTTTCAAACAGTAACAAAGTTTATTCCCGTCGAAAATGCACTTAGCTTTCCAGCTAGTTTAGTTTACACGCCCTTCCTTTATAATAATTAGAAACAACAACAACAAAACTAAAACAAGTAAATACCAGAATTCAAACAGGTCAGCAACAAAAAACAACAATGGCCAAAAAACAAGCAAACAAACAAACAATGACAACAGAATTGGCGTATTTAGGATCATCGATCCTGGGATTTGAGCTCGGGACGTCCTAAAAACAAATTCAGCTACTGTAGAAGAAGCGGGACTAGAACCCGAGACTGCCGGATGGTACTGCGAAGCACTGACCACTCAACCAAAGCGCGGCCTCTTATTCCAAAGATACTTCTGTTTTTCATCTTAGCTTTAAACAAAATAAGTACCAAGTATTTTAAAATTAATTTACCTCCAATGCTTTGATTCGTCGGCAACACAGAAGGACTAAAACAGCTTCCACTGGTGATTAACACATCATCGATTGCGATATCTCCTGTAAATGATGATCCCACAATACCTTCAATGGTTACCTATAAGTGAAATACAAAGCATTAGGAAGTATCTGATTCAACCAAGTGGCATCGATGCAAGTGGCAACCAAAATGACAGTGAAAACGGCGTGATCATGAAAGAGGTAATCTACACAAAGAAGCTATGATTCACATAGCGAATGGTGAATTTTTATCACATCTGTATCGTTGCGCACAAGCACATATCAACATTTAAATTTAGTCTTAGCATTATGCTTGACTTTTGTCTCATTAATCTAGTTATAATAAGTGGTCTTAGCTACCATGAGTCTCCTGTAACTTTGTGATACAGCATCTAGTCTAGAAACCACAAGGTCACAAGTTTGTCTCCCATTGGGAATACTGAGATTTTCTCCTCTAAGCCACCCTGTTTCACAGACTGAAAATTAACTCGCTCATAATTTCACTTGCGCAAGTATCTAAGGCAAGGACACTTGATAGATCCAGTAATCCGAGGAGGATCTATGGAAAGATAGTGAGGAGGTTTAGCAAGATAATTTGATGGATCCTTTTGTGTACTTAGGATTTTCAACCGATCTCTGAGGATATTAATTGATTTCTGAAAACGTACAGCCGTCTGAATACCAACATTCAAGCTTTATTAAACTTACAACGTGACGCAAATAAATCGTTTCCCTTGCTCGTATCCAGCTGTTGCTCTGGTTCCCAGATACATTGAAGACCAACTCATTTCCACTGTAAACATTAAGAGTCCCTATGGTATCACCATGCATGTGATAATAGAAATCAAGACAAGCTGCTGCACCATTTCCAGGAACTGACACTTGAAGTTTTGCGTTGTCACCTTGTCGCCTAGGTAACGAAGTCTCTATATACATGTAGTAACCTGTAAGGTCACAACGGTAATAGTAATGATATTGATAGTAATAATGATGAACATTTAGAACAAAAATCATTACTGTTATTCCTCAATTGAGCGATTCCCTTTTTAAAGACATGTCACCCCTTTAGAAGAAAAAAAAAATCATTAAGTAATGAACAGTGAATGTCAGTAAAAATTAAAGAAATGGCAAGGGCTGAGGTTGCTTGCTTTCTTCAAACGCGTGAGATAAACAAACACGCGAGATGGATATAACTTTAAGTAAGAGTAACCGATCATAAATGCATTATCGGTATTTCATAGATTTTCGACACGGTATTTACAAATTTTTCTTACGGTATTGCGGTATTGAGTACCCCCCCCCCCATCCCCTCTTCAAATAAGCCCTTCCTCTTTATTCACATCTCTCCCCGTCCCCTTTTTAATATGGGCGAGGATTAATTAGCGACATTTTAATTACTGCGCTTTTCAAAAACACGCGAACTCTGAAGTTCAAAAGCCAACTGACGTTTGTGTTTTTCGCTGCCGTCAATCATCTTAACGGACCTCTTAGGAAACAGAACTTCACTTAAACAGGTTCAAAAGGTCAAGGTTTGAGATCTGTGATTTATGGATTTCGATCCGGTTTGGATGTTTCTGTGTTTCAAGGTTCATTGCTTGTGATCGTAACTATGTTTGACGGCAGCGAAAAAGCAATTGTGAAGGCGGCTTTTGAACTTTAGAGTTCGAGTGTTTGTGAAAAGCGCAATTATAGCGAAATTCCTTGTATCGCGCTGTGCGTTTTGCTCATTTTGGGTTTTCTATTCTGTCAATCATTTTAGCGGACCTCTTAGGAAATGCATGTTACTTGCACGAGTTCAAAAGGTCATTGCTTGTGATTCGTTATTGGTGGATCTCGATCCGTTTTGTTTCTTTCGTGTTTCAAGGTTCGTTGCTTTCTCATCGTCCTGTGTTGGGCAATAATCGACTAGTTAAGTTTGCTTCGCAGATTTTTTTATGATCTTTCTCATTCCTGTCACTTGCAAGAATAAAGAATAAAGCAACGTCTGCCTCCTTCCTTCGACAAAAACTCCATTCACCATCGCGATGTTCTTCGCTGTTCTTGAGCAGTCTAGAGTCATTCTCAGCCAAGCTGCGCGAGCACGTTACATTGTGATTTGCACTAACCCCGCCTTCACTAAAATGATTGACGGAACAGAAAAACCTAAAATCCCTTCTAAGTTTGCAAAACGCGCAATGTGATACAACGAATTTCGCTGTAATACTGTAATTCCAATTGTTATTGCTGGACGCATAAATAAGCAAACTGGGCATGAAAATGCTGCCAGTTGACAGTTATTTCTAATAGTTTGCTAACACCCAGAATATACTGCATAAAGGAGCGAGAACAAACACGGACAAAAAAGAACCGGACAAAAATTATTCAAGTTCATAACGACATAGTGATTTTTTTGCCCAGATTTATCAAGATGCCAACAGAGTAAGGTCTCATTTGCGAGGGTCTTAATTGTCTCAATTGGGTGGTAGCTTTGACGGTTATTTTCTTCCAATTTTGACAGCTGGTGGTTGAATTTTAGAGCTTTTGACGGTTGACGGTTATTTAGTGCAAATTTAATCCAAGAGCTAAAGTAAATATTTACTTCTATACAAATTAATGTTAACTGTTGTGTTTTGGCGGTTGTCTTGGCCTTTCAGTTGTAACATTTCCAAATATTTCCAGATAAAGCAAGTTCTGAGGCCTTGCAATTAAGAGATTCCCCAGGAGCCAAAGCCAGACGGAGTCTGTGAAGATTAGCTGAAATAGCGAGATTTTAAAAAAAAAATACCTTGAAACTTTTTGACGGTTAATATTAATCTGCATTTTTGACGGTTGACGGTTAAGTTTTAGGCCGTTTGAGAGCTTAGGGTTAACCCCATCGAGACCCTCATTTGCAACAAGACTTTGTGCCTTGAAACAAAATATTGTAGACCTTGTAACGGTTTTCGACGCCATCTTGACCAGTAGGCAACCGCGTGAGAAATTACAGTGTTTATATGAGAATCTAATGTCAAATAATTTGCGTACAAAGGCTGTTCTGAAAAAAAAAAAATGAATTGTAAACTAAAGCTACAAAGCAAAGGATTGTACTAAAAAAGAATTGGGGCATTCGTGTGCTTAAATTTCTCTAGGGCTTACAATGCTTCAGATTTTCCATATATTTGAGTGTAATTTTTCTCGGGACTTTCCTACAGACCAATGTATAGAAAGTTTTAAAAAGTGGTTCCAGGTCTTCTAGAGCATGTAACGCCCTCAATAGGCCACTTCCGAGTTCCAAAATCCTCACTTTCAAATGAGGCTAGGTGCACAACCTTTCTTGTTAAATGAGTTTTATTTGCATGAGAATGAAAAATGATTTCCATATCAAAGGCTGAGCACCTACCCTCGTTTTGAAACAGAGGCCAGGGGGAACTCGGAAATGGCCCATTTGTTTCAGTAGAATCATTAAGAGTGAAGCTTTAGTTTACAATTCATTTTTTTTTTTTTCAGAACAGCCGTTTTACGGAAATTATTCGACAGGAGACTCTCAAACAAACACTGTAATTTCTCACGCGTTTGCCTACTCGTCAAGATGTCGTCGAAAACCGTGACAAGGTCTGTTGATAGTGGTGACGAAAAAGGTCTCGTCGACTGATAACTTGCTGATACTGAGAATTTATTTATTGTGTTAGTGTTAGTATATGTACCGTTTCCAGTAGTGTGATCTGATGACGGCCCCGTATTTAAAGATAAAGTACTTCCTCTTTGGCGTGTCCAGTCAAATATGTCTGAGGAAGACTGACCCCATCCATAACACAATCCATTGTCAAAGTTACAAGATGCTTGAGCAGAAGGCGACGTCCAGGGCAACCATGTTGTCCATGGCACGGACGTTGTTGGTGCTATTAGTATAGAGAAGTTGCATATTATTTTAAGACGAAGTCCACCAGGACATTAACTAATTTTGATTTTCAGTGCACAAAAATCTTGTACCAGAATAATTTAGAGCCTATTGCATTCTTTCTTACACTTTTCAAGGGCTAAAGATGTAATAAATTATCTGTAGTAACCCCCCCTCCCCCCCAAAAAAAACATTCTTATGGGAGCCCGAGAAAATGAGTGTCAAATATCACAAAATTACTCAATTTCCTGATGGATTCCGTCTTAACGTCTCCCGACTTTCAGTTCAACAACACATTTGAACTCAGGGCCTTTTACCTGGAATTCGGAGTAAAAGTTACTTCGCTTGGCTCACAACTCGGCAGCGTGGCCTAGAGTTCAAGGAAATAGGGTGTACTATGTATTCACCGTGAAAATGCTCTTAGTTTCCAAGCTACAGGAACAATCGGAAACAATGAATAATCCAAATAGAACACAGCTTTAAAACAATAACAACAACAATAACAAACACAACTTGCAAGTGGCAATCTGCAGCTATTTACAAGTATTCGGAACGGGGACTAAAACCAGGGACTGCCGGATGGCAAGAAGTATTGACCACTTGGCCACGCCGCCTTCTATAAAGAAATTACTTTTCCTCTTTGGCTATCTTAACAACAACAACAACAACAACAACAACAACAACAACAACAACAGTTAATGGGTAATAACACGCAACTGAGGTGATGCACACAAGGAATTTAACCAACTATTTTAAAGCCTAATCCAACTACTGGACTATTTACCTCCAGCGGTATGATTATTACAGCTTGCATTGGTGATTGCCACATCATCGATAGCTATATCTCCTGTAAATGAAGACCCCGCAATACCTTCGAAGGTTACCTATAAATATAGTACAAAGCAATGGGAAAAAATTCATACACTTGGAGAAAATGTATTTATTTATTTAGTTAATTTATTTGTAAGTCAAACAAGTTGGATCGCTGCAAGCGGAAACCGTTGTGAAATAAAATAAGTAAATAAACAAATAAATAAATAAAGCCATGGCTTATAAAAGAGAGGAAATCAACAGGAAGAAAAGTAAGATTCAAATTCCCCTTAAAATTAGATTTACATATAGTGGCCAATTTTAATGTAGAATTGGTAGCACGTTGATCTCTAAAAAGATTAACGTAAGGGGTTTTAACAAAATAACTAGATTCTTTTATATCATATGTAGGATTATCAACCAATCTCTGAAGATCTTCAAAGAATTCTGCATATATTAGATGTATGTAAAGATTTTAGCCGTCTAGCCCCGGTTGTTCAAAGAGTGGATAACCGGGGCCTGAAATTTAAGACCAACAGTCGCTCATCCCATTAAAGGGAATCCAAAACAGTCTTAAATTCTAGATTTTACGCAATGGATTCCTGACCTTTGTCAATGGAACTTGGATTCCGGATTCTAATCTTAGTGGGATTCCGGATTCCTAGAAAGGTATTCCGGATTCAAAATTAAAGCCAGGATTCCGGATTCCACGAGCAAAAAAGTTTCAGGATTCCGAAATAGGGATTCCATTACATGAGGCAAAGTCGCGTTTCCTTGAAAATTCACCTTTATCAAAATTACACTGTGTTGCAAATAAATTGTTTCGGTTGCATATCGAGATTTAAGTTAGCCTTAGCAGTATCCAGGACGTTTGTCACATGACCCTAGTCACTGTAGCTAAGTGGTACAGCACCTAAACTAGTAACCAAGGGTCATAGGGTCGACAGTCGACTTTTAATGCCGGGAAGTACTGGGATTTTTTCCTCAAAGCCACCTGTTTCGGTGACTGAAAGATCATAATCTTTCTCATAATTTCAATTTTTTGTTCGAAAACAGGCAAAAATGATCTTTAAAAATATCGTGAGAGAGTTTGGCAAGGTCGTTTGATAGACATCCTTTTACGTCCTTAGGATTTTCAGCCGATGTCTGAAGATTTTCAGAGAAATCGATTTTTGAAATTTAATCAATACCAACAGTCGTGATTTCTTGAGAACCAAAATGTAGTAAACTTACATTGTTTCGCAAATATATCGTTTTTCTTGCTCGTATCCAGTAGTTTCCCTGGTTCCCAGATACACTGAAAACCAACTCATTTCCGCTGTAAACATTAAGAGTCCCCATGGTACCACCATACATGTGATAATAGAAAACGAGACAAGCTGCTGCGCCATTTCCAGACACTGACATTTGAAGTTTTGCTTTGTCACCTTGTCGCCTAGGGGACGATGTCTCTATATACATGTAGTATCCTGCAAGAGCATAATTGTAATAACTACAATGAAATTGATAGTAACTTGATGAAAATTTAGATTAAAAATCATTACTGTAAACCGAGATGACAGTGAAATATGCCTCTCGCCTTTTTCCCCACCCGCCCCTACCGCGTCTTCCCAATATGGACGAGGATTAACGTATTTAAAAAGAAAAACCTTCCAAAGACTTGATAACGAGGATTTTCAAGGAATCGACATTTGAAATTCTCAGTGTTATTGCTGCGTGCATAAATAAGCAAACTAAAACAAAAAATGCCGTCATACTTTCAGGTTATTAATCAGTTGATATTTGTCTCTAATACCTGGACAGGAACCTGGATTATTCTGCTTTAAAGAAATAGAAAAATAACCTAGGCTTCGAAACAAGCTATATCAATGCTGATCAAAACAAGTTTTCAATTTACTGATTTATTATTATTATTGTTTTATTAAGCTTCAGTTAAATCGAATTCATTTCAATGCATTGGAGGTAGGCTTATATCTGGGTTGGAAGGAGTGGACCGTGTATATGAGCTTACAACTGGGGGTGGGGCGGGGCTTATTATTGGGCGAGCTTATAAGCGGCAATTAACGGTACATATATATATATATATATCTGTTACAAGACAGAGCCCCTTGTGAAATTATTTACAGTGTAATCGTGTACCGTTTCCAGTAGTGTGATCTGATGAAGGCCCCGTATTTGAAGATGAAGTACTTCCTCTTCGGCGTGTCCAGTCAAATACGTCTGAGAGAGACTGACTCCATCCATAACACAATCCATAGTCAAAGTTACACGATGGTTGGGCAGATGGCGACGTCCAGGGCGACCACGTTGTCCATGGCACAGACGTTGTTGGTGCTGTCGATAGAGAGAATTTGATTATTTTGTTAAGGTTTAGGCGGTAGCTGTTTACTATACGCTACCAAACAAACAGACACACAATCGTAAAAAAATAAAGACATAAGATCTTTCCCCTCAACTCTTTTACTACTGTATCTTCCATAATATTGATTATTTGCTTGGGCTCTACTTCAAATTAACATTTATCTAATCAGTTTTCTAAAGCATTTATAGCACTAAGCGAAACACAGATAAGATGTGTTGTGGTTCAATTTTTTCAAGCCAATTTTATCCATGTACACATTGCCCCGGAGAGCTTGTTCGCAGGCTATGGTAAAGCAATCAATCAATCAATCAATCAATCTACCCAATTTTAGTCTCATTTTGGGCTCCATATAAAGTGCAGCGGCCTAATACGGCTCAGTTAACTAAAAGAATTTGAATAAACGTTATTACTTCTGCCTTTTTTTTTGTGCTGGGAAACCTAATGATGAAAACAGAAATCAGTATCCTCACATTAGAGAAGCTTCGCCTCCTTTGCTGTTACTGCTTTGGATGGTTTTCAAAATGACGTCATCAAATTGTAAAGTCAAGATAGCGAGGTTTTACGAATTCTTATTTACGTTAGATTGAAGAAAAACAAAATATAAATCTTTGTACAAGTCTCCAGTCCCGTAGGATATTTCATTTCGAAAATACAGCAATTTGAACTTCCGAGTTTTCATAGCGCGTGACACCAAAATAGGAAATGCTGTCTCATTGAAAAAAAGTCTATCCTCTTCATTTTTAGCAGTTTAACCATTTTAGGCATTAGAAGATGTGTTTATGCGCACGTATGCTTACTCCCGAGTGAAAAGAAAGAGCTTTTTTTTTTTATAGAAAAAGTGAACTCCAGATGGTTTTGTTGATCTCCGGCGGCCATATTGGTGTACCAAAACTGTACGCCAATATGGCGTCTCCGTACAAAGCTCCACAAAGCTACCTGAAACATTTATGCAAATAACTCAGAAACTGTGGGCCACAAAGACCTGAGACTTGAACAAATTGTTTATATATTAGTCTTTTATGAATTTCATTTTCTTGGCTTCTTCCACTGGACGGTTTAAATTTTTTTTTGTTCGCTGTTTATTGCGTGACAGTGAAAAACGAACTATACAATAATGATGACGGTGATGATGAAGAAGATGCGAAAGACCACTCAAGTTATCCGATTCAAAGTTGTAGGAATGTCTCCTAAAAATAAAGTTGTATCACCTGAAAGAAGAACAACAACAACATACCTCCTGAGCATATCACTGATGCGTCTTCACTGTGAGCGCAGTTATGAATGCCCCAACCACTATGCCGACAATAGACAATTGAACTTTCACTGCCTACGCAAGCAACATCATCCAGCCAAATTCGACCACTTCCGGCACCAAATCGAGCAAATCCTGGAGCACTTACAGCGCCAGGAAACCCGAGTTGACGACAAACGACTCGCGCGTCATTTATACCCCAGGAGTCATCACAAACGGTTCCCCAGATGTTATTATGATACACTTCAACTCTTCCTTCCCAGCTTCCAGATCCTCCAACCAGTCTCAGGCCTAAAGTCCACGAAAAAAATGGGTACGTAAAATGTATTTGTGTTATTTTCTCTTGTAAATAATGTCTGCAGCCTTTCTGGAATGACGAGGGGTGCAAGATCATAAACCAGTTTAAAATGTATTTGATATAAATGATCAACCCAATTTGATGAGCTTTAAGAGATATTGAATTGAAAAATATAAACGAAAAAGCTCAAAATAAATTAATAGTAGATTGAGAATAGTGATTAATAAAGAAAGAACTAAAGCCTAATATTGTCAGCATTAAAATTCATTGTGCAGATTATTTATAATTTTTGTCTTCTCTTCCATTCACTAGTTTTTTTTTTCTCCATTTTATAAAGCTTTTCTCTTATTGACTTTGTAACATTGGATATGTGATTTTATCCAGTGATTAACAAAGTATTATACTTATGAGAAAATTATCATTATCATTATCATTATCATTATCATTATCATTATCATTATTATTATTATTATTATTATTATTATTATAGAGGAAATAACGGGAGATGTAAAGAATAAACCATAAGAGGACACAGAAAAAATCTGAGCCCCAGATGGGATTCGATCCCACGACCCTCCGTGTTCTAGATCGGATGCTCTAACCTCTGAGCTACTGAGGACTCGTTGGCGAACAAGGGTCATTTTTATTGGTTGAACTTGCCAACCGCATCACGCAGTCACGTAGTCCATCACAAGCAACACATTAAGGCTTAACTGCATCACGCAGTCACATTAACTGCAAGAAATGACTCGCCTATGAAGGAGCCTGCAACCAACCAACCTATGCCTTTGATATTAGTACACCTTTTGTTGTTCATTACGAGAACGCTCAATTGACTGTACAAGCGCATTAATGTTTGTCTTATCCATCCTTAGGTTGTCCAGGAATGCTATTGAATTGCAAACAGTGTCATAAAAATGTTAATGAATAGTGTTTGCACTGTAATGTATATCAGTTGTCCCTATTGACTTTCAAGATGGTGTTAATGACTTTGATGTTAGCGTTAATGAAAGTATATTTTTCTCTTTGGTATGTCGAATGACGCAAATGAATGCCCACATATGTCATTGAATGTTGATTAAAATGCAAAAATCGTTATTGGATCTGATTCAGGCGCAAATGTTCGCTTTATTGCGCTAATGAATGTATCTCCGCGCTGATGGTCGCCGTTTCACACAAATGAATGCGTATTTTCTCGTAATGAACAGCAAAAGGTGTATTATAAAGGAAATAAATGGAGATGTAAAGAATCAACTATAAGAGGACACAGAAAATCCCGTCTGGGGCTCAGATTTTTTCCGTGTCCTCTTATGGTCGATTCTTTACATCTCCCTTTATTTCCTTTATAATGCTTATATCAGTGGCATAGATTATTATTATTTTCTTGTTCACGTTCCTTTTCAGACTGTACCTGAGGCGCCAGGGGGAGGTGGAGAAGGGGTAACATATCCATTCATTTTGTTGATTATCCAGGATTTCAAGTTACGAACGTTAGCATACACGGTTGGCTTCAGTGGGGATGCACAAGGGAGGCCCGTCCAGCTGGCAGCTCCTTCAAGATACCATTTACCACCAAATTCGCACACAAGTGGCCCTCCGCTATCACCATGACAGGCGCCCTGACCTCCCTGGACTTTTCCAATGCATATCATGGAGTCGTCTATTTTCCCAGGGTAATAATTGAGGCAGCGTTGCTTAGATACGAGTGGCAAATCAACCTGCATCAGTGCGTTTGGCTGTGGACCAGCATAATAAATTGTTCCCCAGCCAGTGATCCAACAGGGCTTGCCAGAATTATCAAATGGAAGCTGAAAATTTTCATTTGAGAGACAAACCAAGCCAACTCCTTTGCCAAGCACAGCTGGTCTTGATAACCTGAGCAAAGCAATATCGTTGCTATATGTGTTTGGGTAGTGATAGTTTTCGTGCAGGATTATCCTTAGAACGTCAAAATCCTGTTCTGTTCCAATGGTAGACCATAATCTGTAATGAGCTCCCAATCTTTCAAGACAAACAGAAAATGCAAAATAAAACAATTACTCAGAAGGTTTGGTTATCTATCCATCCGAGAAAATTTGGTAGTCACGTGACCGTACGCCTGCCTGCCCGTCACTAAAAATCAGTCACTAAAAAGCCTGAATTTCACTAACAGTTATAATAAAATTATTAAATTAAGTATACTACTATAGTCCAATAAGTTAAATAAATAAATAAATAAATAAATAAATAAATAAATAAATAAATAAATAAACCCTTTTTAGAGGAAAATGCAAAATTAAAAAAAAAAAAAAAGCATGGCTGTCCAATGCTGACGTGCATGACACGATGACTTTAAAATGTTTCCAGCTAATTTTTAAGGAAAACTCGGTAAGTTGGTAGTCATGGCTTTAATGGTTTTGACGTTATTCAACTTTTTATTGAGAGGCAGCCTCAAAAGCGCTCCCCGGTCTGAATAAGGTTAAAAGACGTGGTTAAAATGTGTTCTTCAAAATTCCTGTTGTTGTTCGGATCTGTATCTAAGGACAGTTTAAACCATGTTTCACTTAGAAAAAGCCCTTGAGTTTTTTATATATTTTAAACCAGTTTCAAAATATTGAACAACAAATCACAAATGCATTTTATCCAGTGTAAAGCACCATTGCAATACAATTTTTACCCTATTTAAAATCTGTTTGACAAAACTGATTAGAAACAGTTCTTTAAAGTAGTTTCAAATACATTTAAAATACTGTTAGACATGTTAAGGGTAGTGAAAATAACAAATCCATAGTCTCATTTGCATTCATCCGTTTTGTTGTACCTCGCAACTTTTAACATTGCATGACGTTAAAACACTTCAGCACGTGCTTGAAAATAAATTACGAGCTGCCTCATACATTGCCATAATGCAAAACAAAGGAAAATGAAATCTCCCACGTCTCCTAAATCACCATTGATGGACTTTTTATTCTTACCTTACTTTAACATCTGACAAGGACTTCCTTCTTACACAGTGAGTTGCTGTTAAAACCCACTGGGGATGGATTAAAGATCCTCCACAGAACTGTCTCCCACTGCTTGATAGTAGCATGGCCTGCCAAGGCCAACTATTTATAGGTGCCTCGGAGCCGTTAACAATCCGAGAGGTACGAACACTTGGTCTTATGCCACATGTGACTGTAATGATAATATAATTTAATATTCTATAAACATATTTTCCTGAAAAATCGATAATGAGAAGCACTCAGCATTATTTGAAGACGAAAATACATGAATGTTCTAAAAAGAAGATTTATAAATTTCTATGTTTTCTCAATACGTTTTCGACAGTTCAAGTCTAAATTACATGTAGACAGCTCTAACCCCGTAATCCATTGTCGTTTAGAAAGTAGCAGACTATTTGCATCAAATGTGTTCACATTTCTTTGAGAAAACGGCAACGGTAATTCAAATATTCATACAGAAAGAATTAAGCTTCTTTGCTTGTCGCTTAAGGTGGCTTGACCCAGTATTTTAATAGGCACACCCTCCAACTTTGAATCTCTTATGCTTAAACAAATCGATCTTTATTGTAAACCCATTATAACAAATAAATTACACTTACACTAAACTTTATTACGGTATTATTTTTGGGACGCAATCAAAAAAATGTCACGCGACAATAGCGTCGCAATGCTTTTAGCTCTAAATCGAATTTCAGCCCTGTTTGGCAATTTCTTTTCAAGTTCTTTACGCTACGTATTCTTTGGGTGATTATCTTTTGCTGTGCGAAGTTTCAAAAAAATCTATCAGAGGAATTTCGAGAAAATGATCTTGGACTTTCTACAAAAAGGGGTATAAATTATGCATGCACCTAAGACTGGACTTAATGCAGACAAATTTGCTAATATCCACAGAAAATATCGTACTCGTAGTAGATCTCGTCTTAGTATCTAAAGCTCTCTATTGACCAATTGTCACAACCGTTATTATCTTAAAATATTGATGGGATATTGCTGGTCACTCTTGGCACTTAAAAGGTTAAAAGCTTAGCACTAATAGAATAACAGTGGCGTTTCCTCTCTTACGGTTTGCTGTGATCGTGGCTTCTGATGGAGTTTTGTATGGCTTCCCCATTGTGTCAATCCCAACGACTTCCACTGTATAATTTGTTGAATGAGTGAGTCCGTTGATTTCTGTGGTTAATCGATCCCCATCCACGACCTGATGCGATGATACACTATTATTTCTTCTGTTTAAGAAGACAACATAATGGCCAACTTGTCGGTTGAGAATGCTGGTAAGGTTTGTCCACCGAATGAGTATACTTGAAACGGTGGTGTTCTCTACTGTTAAATTCCAGCCAGAACGCATTTGCGCTAAATATAAGAAAAAAAACATAAAGATAAATTAATAAATAAACAAAACATCATCTAAGTGTTCTAATTCACTACGAGAAACAGAATTGGGAATAATGAAATACCCATTAATAAAAGAGATAGAATCATTTTAAATAACAGTCTGCTTACATGTATATATAGACAAGTATGCTTCAAATTGAACTAAAGGGAAACTACTGGCCGAGTTTTAAGCGACCAAGTACATTCAAAGAAAAAACGAGCTAAAACAGACAGAATGAATGATGAAGTTGCTGTTATCTTCCTTCAAAACGTGCATGATTACCGCATTCCAAACTCCCTGATGTTAAGAAGTTGAAAGTGATACATTATGTCAGGCTCCTTACCAAAAGTCAGAATTGACCGGCAGACCCTGTCTTTTTAAAAAAGAACTAGGCGCCGCATTCTATGAGAGCTCAAATGCAACGAAGAATATACAAGTACTAGAATTGATATATATATTTTTTCCACATGCAAGAGATCGATATCGAGGGTTACCTGCATGAACGCTTTTGTCCAGTATAAAGTAATCAACCTTGATAGTACTTCTCAAGCGACGCATGTTGAAACTTGCCGTTATGTTGCGTGAGGCAAAGAACGGAGCCTCCACCAATGATCCACGAGCAGAAGACGAACAGCCGCTATGGTGAAATTTCAGGACCCCATTGCCGCCAAAAATCTTGAAATATTCACTGACAGTGGTAATAATAATAATAATAATAATAATAATAATAATAAAAATCTGAATCTTTTATTGATAAGAAAACTAACTACAAAATCCGGCCTATTTACATATACATAATAATTTACATATTACATAATAATAATAATAATAATAATAATAATAATAATACTAATAGAAGATATTTCAGGCTATATATAAGCTCTAATCGGCTGGTAAAGATAATTATTTTATTGCGTTGTATTTTCTTTACAACATAAATGTATGTATAATTAATTTTAAGCGCTGAGTTCTACTCCGTTTTAATAGTCTTCCAAAAGAGATGTTTTGTCTATTATCATTGATGTCCCAACCAAAAGCCCATGGTTCTTCAATTACAACAAAATAGTTGTTTTACTCGTTACACATTTAAATAACGAAAACAGTGTTTGTAAACAGTGATGTCTCCTAATTCTCGGTCCAGGCCTTGCATGCGCCTAATGGCTGATGGGATAAAAGCAATGTCACGTGGTTTTCCAGGGGGTAAACCAATGATAAAATCTGTCCTACAAGAAACTGCGGACCAGTTTGTTCATTCTAGCTAGGAAACATAAATAACGATAATGACAATTTATCGGTGGAAATGATCATTTGTCACTTTTTTGAATGCTATAGCGACGGTAGATGACCTCACAGCGGGAAATTATGACGGAAAACCTGCCGATACTCGAATTGTACTAAAATCGCCGCCTTGCTTTGGGAAAATAAACAAGCACGACCGCGAGTATTGGTATTGCCCCTCGGAATATCTCGTGACATTGCTTTTATCCAGTAATCCCGAAGCGCGTGGTGATGGCGGACATCGTGAATAAGGCCAATTAGCCAATTCGGCACAGATAATAAAAGCTACCTCTACATAACAATAGGGCTGCTAGTGTAAGATGCGAATGGCGTTTTTCCCTTTTAAAAATGCTCCCCATCGCATACTTAAATAATGCTCTTTCAGTAACAATAATCAATACCTGCAGTAACCGAAGTTGATCTCCTGGATTAGAAATAGACCAGCTGCCTGGGGAATCCCGGTATTACCAATGGACCAGTAGCAATATAGGCTAGTGTAATCGGAATGTGTCACATTTATGGCACCATATGATTGGTTGACCACTACCCTGCAAGCTAAAACGACTAGATGATTAGAAAACAAAATTAATACCAATTATGGGATAATGTTGAAGATAATTTGACGTTATTCCGGAACGTTATCTTGACATTAATTAAAAGAAGGAATGCTAGAATTATTGAGAGCATGCCGTGTCTAAACATTTCAACATTTTCTCAGATAGATAATTAAAACATGCCAAAAAGATACAATAGAAAATACTATAGAAAGCTCTGTTAATTCTGCACAGACTATAGCAGGATTAGTCATTTTATGATACATTGTCGCTGCTGAAATGTAACGGCAGATGGTTCCAAGTACAGTGAGGGGAAGTGTGTACACGGGGGGACTTATGTGAAGTTTTGGGGGAGTACCAATGTCTTTTTATTAGTTTATTTTATTTCTTTATTATTATTATCCTGTTTTTCGGTTATTGCTGGAAGCAGCTGCTATTACGCAAGAAAATGATATCTTAACATCAACACTATCAGATTTCATTAGATTTTTACCTGTTGTGACATAGTGAAGAGAGGAACGCGGCCCTTCGCCCTTGGATGTAAACGCCGTCACAGAAACATCATAGCGCTGAGCCGGTCCTCGTCCCGTTATCAATGCCCATGTTATGTTAGGACTGCTGGTGACGAAACTGCTTGAATTAAATGGTACTGGATAATAGGCGCTCCTTCTGAAGTAAACTCTATAGCCCAACAATCGTCCATTGTAAAACTGCCGAGGAAGAGGATTCCAAGTAACCTTGAACTGCGTTTCTCTGATTTCAGAGAACGTTATATTGTTAGGAGCACGACCAGGAACTAAAGAGAAATTAAATTATGTGAAGCTGTTAGACAGGCAGACATTTGCTTTTTAAACCTAGTCAGTAGGAGTTTATTTTCTTTTTTTAATTTCTTTCTTTCTTTCTTTTTCTCTTTCTCCTTCTTTCTTCTTCTCCTTTTTTCTTTTTTTTCCAAGTGTTAGCACCCGAAAAATGCAACTTAATAATTAATGGCAATGAGAATGATAGACCACAAGAGAGGATAAAGGGGACAGAGAAGGCATCCCCCATACACACCCTATTCGATAGGTAATTCGTCTCGAGTTGATGTTTCGTGGAGGTTTCGCATGACTAAACGCACGTCGTGCAAAACATGTTCGGCGAAAGGCAATGAAAGCGTTAAGAGATCGAGAGCGTTTATGAATATTGAAGCGAAATGAGTCGGCGCTCACCTTGGAAAAGGGAATCGCTGAACTCTTTGACAACCCGTGAAATCAGTTTAACTCGAAGTTGTCATAACCTCAGTGCTTTAATAAAACGAGAAATTTCGCCGGTCTATTGAAACTGTTCGTTTGTACAATAAAGCAAGTAGGACGCCAAGTGTTATTTTTGTTGAATAATAAAAGACTAATAAAAGAATAAATATCAAACCAGAAAGTGCTCTCTTCAAACTGTAAATTATAAATGATCCTGAGAGA